ATTTAGCCTAAATGATGTAAAGACTTTAAGAGAACAGTAGATAATGATGACTGACAATTAAGTACTCTTTCTTAAAGCCTTTTAGGAAAAAAAAATACAAAAAAACCTTCTCATTTTCCTTTTGTTTCTTGCTGTCATAATAGCTCTCTGTAGGCTTGTGTAGGCTTTGTGCTAGTGCACAAAAAAAGACAACAGGATCTCAGAGAAAGAAACTGTTGAAATCTTTCTGGAAAAAAAAGATTCAAGGGTCATTGTTTACTGTAGTCTAGTAGAATTTCCATTTAGATTTACGAGCTCAGGCAAGAAACTAGTCCTCCACTCTGCTGCTGGTGGAATCATGGACGCTTTTAAATAACGCTGTTGATTCATGTTAATTTTGATGTTCTTTTGTTCTTTAGCTCACTATAGTTTCAAGTAGTATGCTAGAACTATTAAAGCTGAATTACTTTTTCTGAAAAAAAGATTTTTCTTATACTCCCTCACTAATTTAAACATGATTGATGTTTTTAATTATTGTAATTGCTGAAAAGTAGTAAGTGAAACAAAATCTTGTGTATGTTACCTACTTGTCGAAGCTTGCCTGAGGGTAGTTATGTGTGTTTAAGGCATTTGCAGAACTGAGATATTTGTTTTCTTTTCATTTTACCCTTAAATAAGAGAGATATTTTATTTTTCCACAGAACAGCAGAGGAAGGTTCAGGTCCCTATCCCCCATTGCCTTTAGAGTGGCTCTTCTGTCCCTGAAGGAATTCATCATATGCTTAAAGAGATGCTGGTTGTTCTATACTGCAACCAAAACCTCCCCCCCCCCAATTCAGGGAGTTTGCACAAATCTCTTCAGTGAGGTTGGCTATTAGGATGTTACAGCCCTTCTCCTGAAGTGGTGGGAGGGTTTCAGGAAAGCCTGGTAGTCCCTGGAGATTAATTCCTGGGGACAGTGAGGTCTGGAGTCAAAACCTCTTGAAATGGATGAAACACCTCCCAGTAATTTTAGTGGTTTTTGATTGGGCAAGTCCTACTGGTGTATTTGTGCAGGATCCTTTCCAACTCGGCATGTTCTGGGGTCATGGCTGTGCTGTTCCATACTAGTAACATATTAAAGTTGTGCGGTCATCGTGAGGAAAGGCCTGGAGAAAGCTTCTCACAGAAACCAGTAGTGCTCAGTTGCTGCTGCTCTTTGCTCTTTCTTAATGGTTAGACATGATGGCAGGAGCCACCATTATCCAGGGTTGAATATGTTGGGAATACCTCATCTGGCATCTTGCCTGGATATGCCATGCTAACATAAAGCAGGTGTGCCACATGTACAAGTGTGCATGGATGTATACTTCAAATCTGTGCTTCAAATTCAGAGAAGTGATTCAAAAGAGTAATTCAGATAACAGATCAGTGTCAGGTACCAAACCACAGTCCTTTTCGTGCATTGTGTCAGCATTGCTGGAATCAGTTCTCCCATTCTCTTCCCTGAATTTTTGTCCATTTGCTGCCAGGGATGCATTTACCATGTCAGCCTGTCACATGGGCTGACCTGTTGGCAGGAAACTAGGTTTTCCCCTCTTTATTGTTCCACACCTTTTATTGCTTAAGGAGGTTTATATGGTGTGTCAGTTATAATTCACATTGAGTAATTTATATACTGAATCTAAGAAGGTTAATACTTTTCATATTTGCCTCTTGACTCTTTTGGAATGCTTTCTTTTTTACTATTGGAAAACTCTTGAGTATATTGATCTCAAGAGGCATATAAAACAGCATCAGTGATGTCAAGAGCATCTGATTCAGGCAGTCATGAATGCAGATACAATACAGGGATATCTGAGTTTTTGTTGGGAATCTAGAAAAATGAGGTCTTGGAGAAACCCAGGCAGAGCAAAAGATCATGGAAGACTGAGCAGGAATCTAGAAGAAACAGGTACCGAGAGAAATAAGGATTGCGAATACCAATGGACAATGGTAGAAGCCCTCTTTGCCATAGCAGCATAAAACAGTGATTTGAAAAGCACATAATACCATTGCTAACAAAGAAGAAAAAATCTTGCTTTAGAAATAGAAGTGAGAAAGATTCCTCCTACAGCAGTCACAAAGTTTTCATCTTCCCACTCACACCACTGCTTCAACAGTATGCAGCTCTGCTTGCATCCTGGCAGTTTGTATCCTGGTTGAGTTAGCTGGGAGACTGGAAGTTGCAACAGAGGAATATGCAACTGCTGAACCCCTGCTGATGGCAGCATGCTCCACAGCATGAGTCTGAAAGCAATCCTTTTTCTCCTAGCTTGAGCCTTATGCTTTCCCTGTCTTGAGGGGGGGAAAAAAAGGTTTTGTGAAGAAATTATTTAAAATGTTAAAAAAAGTAAATAAAAACTGTCAGCGTCTGTTTGTTGGATGAGTAACTTAAACATACTCATCCAAGGCACCTGTAACCTAAGCAGCCAAAGTCCACTTGAGCTGGGGCTGAATTTGGCCCATTGTCTCTCCTTCACACCCACAGTACAAATAAAAGCTTCAGCCTCTAAAAATTTGGTGGGAGGGAGGAGGTGGGAGAGCCACTGGAGTGTGATGTTGCATTGACAGTTGATGTGCATTCCTTGAAAACCTGTGCTTCTCATTACTGCTGGATATAGCAGTATGACAAGTCATTGGGAAAGAGGATGCAGTTTGTTAGAAGTGGAACATTATGATGAATATATTTTGATCTTTATGGAAGGATTGTGGAGCAATGCTGACTTCTGATTAAGGCATGGGGAAAAAGGCAGTGTTACCCTGAAAATGGGTATAGGATCTTCAAAAACTAAATCTTTAGCAGGAGTTACATTCAAAGTGGTCATTTTACTTCAGAATCATGTTTTCTTTCGCCTATTCTTTAAATAACTTGGAGCTGTGTCCTTCTGTAGTAGAAACAGCAAAGTAGACTAAAGGACTTCTGCTATCACTTAAATGTGGCAAATAAACTGTACAAAAATAATATATCTTTGCTACTTGAATAACAATATTTACATTGCACTTTCTTCCAGAAGGAGTCTATGGACATGTTTAAGTGGTGTACAAGAGTCTCTCATCCTCACTAAACAGCAGCTAGCTCTGCCATAGAGGCACGTTGCTGTTTAGCACTATAAGGCTGCAGTTTGGAACAGCTTAAGGCAAATAATCTAAAATATGAAATCCAAATAATATAGCATATGAAAGGGTCATTTAAACCTGCAGAAGTTATTTATGAAATTGGAGTTTAGCTAGAGCTAGTAACAGCTGTGGAGTTCTATTAAGTGCGACTGAGTCTTCGTAATTCTCAAACATCCAGGATTTTCTCTGCTTCCTCTCACTGGCATAGTGTGTTTTCAAAAGTATTACAGATGCATTGGGCTCATATCTGACCAAGAGTGACTTCATTTTAGCTTGAACTCTGTTCAAAACCAAATGAAGTTAAATAGGGAGAAGCAATGTTATTTCAGAGTAAGTATACTCACATGGTGATTATATTGATATGCCAGCTTCACTCAAAGGTTGACATGAAACTTCCTTGGGAAGACAAATCCTTAAAAGAAAGTTTGCTTGTGTCTGTGAGTTCACATATCATTTTAATACATTCTAAGATTGCTGCAGGGTTTTGTCCTCACATGGTGACCAGTGTTGCTAGAGGATACTTTTTAAAAAATGTTGTTTGAAGTGAACAAGTTTGGGCAAGTGTAGCCAGGTCAGAGTGGGATCTGGAGAGCAACGTTTTGCCTGTGTATCATTGCCTGCAATGTCACTTTTCCTATTTTTCACTTCTACAGGAGTACAGTGTAGAAGACAATAAAAATGAGGTATCCCAAGCACCTAAATCGTCAGATCAGTATTCATATTGCATGAATAGGCATGGTTGTTTTGAATGGGGATTTTTCAGGTGATGAGCTAGTACCTAAACTTATTTTCAGTGGCATCAATGCCTCCCATTGATTTTGGTGAATTCCAGCTAGGCCATTGATAAGCACTTCTGTAAATGCAGCCTAATCCCCAATTATACTTGACCTCAGCAAAAACCCCTTAGCGCTAAATTGTCATGCAAGAGTATCGTGCAGCTCTGTTTTTCTTCTCCAGCAGAGTATCATGTTCTGGTGAATAAGGCTGCTCCCCTTGTCTGTAAAGCACTTTGGGATTCCTCAGTGTGTAACATGAATGCTGGTAGGCTGTGGTTCTCTCCCACCTGCATTTGAGTTCCACAGCATGAGACTTTTTCACTTTCTACTTTTTTTTTTTTTTCCTTTCTGCTTTTGTCACAGAGCACTCAGCTGCTCTTTGTGAGCAGCTGTTCTGTTTCCCTCTCTGCCTGCGGCAGTACCCAAACAGCTGCACCATGTACACCAAAGGTTGCCAGAGCAATGCCCAGCTTTGTTAAAAAGTAACAGGATTGGGAAAGAGGGGAGGGAGCAGGAAAATTTGTGACCTGGAGGAGATTCTACAGCACACGGTCAGTGGGTGCTGAGGGACCTGGGTGAGTTCCATGTCCAACTAGAGATACATTTTCTATGTGTCTGTCACAGTAAGACTTACCTGCTGACCTGGAGAAAGCCGTTAGTCATGAGGTGATGCTGAAGTTCTCTGGGAAAGGAAGTGTTGCTGACAGTGGCAAGCAGCTTATGTGCATGTCTCATGGAAACTTAAATGTGCGTATGTGTGCATGTGTGTGTGTTCGTTCAACATCTGCTGTCCGCATACTGTGTGACTCAGACACAGAGAGAGTGAGGTGTGGCTAAGAACAGGCCTGTGACGTGCAGTATGACTTTTTTTTTTTTTTGTTTCTTACAAGTAGCTTTCTTGTGCATGGTAGGGCGTTATCTTTATTTGTCCATTCTTGGGTTTGTGTGCATATTTTTCCGACAGTGCTCATAGTGTTTGCTTTGTGGTTCCACCTCTGAGCACTTACAAATTAGTGAGGAACAATTCAATGCGCATGAAGCTATGTGATACATTTGTGGCATGTCAGGATTTCTGCCAACGTAATGTTTCTTTTCTTTGATTTCCAGAAAAAGGCATGGCATACGATCAAAACCATGGTTAACTTACCAGTCATCAGCCCCTTCAAGAAACGCTACTCATGGGTGCAGCTGGCTGGACATACAGGTGGGAAGGATTACTGTTCATGTCTGTATGTGCTTCAGCCCTGGCAAGCACAGCATTTCTAACATCAACCACAAACTCCTCATCTTAGTGTAGGTCTTTGGGTGAAAAACAAATGTGGTAAAAATTGACTTGCTGACCAGGTATTTGCATTGTGAGCCCATCACTGTTCACTGAATGAGTGAAGCAGCTCAGTTGGTGGGTTCTAGTTTCATGCCTGTAGAAGTTGGTAAGTGTGCTCTTGATGTAGGCTTTGTTTCATTGGCAAGGCAAAAAAAACAACAAATGGAAGTCATCATGTTTGCATCTCTCGTGCTTCATTTAATTCCTATGCAGTGCTAGTGAGGGGGGTTATTAGTACACATGTGGGCAGACACCTACGCTGCATCATGCTGTAATGAAGTACCTGAACCACCTCTTTATATGGTAATGCATAATATGTTGCACTTCAAAGCTGTGCTGAGGAATTTATTTAGCCCTAGGAATTGCGTAGCGGCATTTTGCACAGTGTTGTTGGTGGGGCTGACTTGTATCACGCAGAGTGCCAAGATGACCCAGTCTTGGTGCAGATTTTATGACAGAGTGTATGGAGTTGGCTTGATCTGCGTGGAGTGATGTACTAGTCATGTAATCATAACCTTGTGGAGACTTGTGTAGTAGGGTGGAAGAGGACAGTTAAGAGTTTACTAGAAGCTGATTAGGAGAGATATTGTTCTGGTTTCCTTTCAATAGTTTTCTGTGGTTGTGTTTAGTCCATCCTTTTTGCAGCTGTTCTTCTCTGATATGACAGGTTTTTTCTGACTAAAACCTGGGCCATCACCACTCTTACCCTTGTGCTGAAGCAGTGCCAGTTCTAGGATTTGTCAGAGAAGAACTTGTTTGCAATGACTGAAGGAACTTGCTGTGATAAAAGTTGAGCGTTTTCCCCAGGAGTAACAAGGTTTCTACTTTGGTGCCCAGTTTGTTTCACGTAGATTAAAGGGTACCTCTGAATGAAATGTGTACTTTCCTCAGCTGTATTTGGCAGGTTGCAAGACAGTAGAGTGTTTGGTCAGGAATCTCCACACAACTAGAGTCTGCTTACTGCTAATTGTGGCCTATGCAGACTCATTTGTACTGGATACTATTCAGACACAAGACTGTAAAAAAGACAATTTCACTACAGACTGTACCGGCAGGGTATTAGCAGATTTCCAGAGAAGAGGCAGTACCTGCAGGTAAATGCTTGCGCAGTCACTGTGTGTGTAGAAAGGGCAGTGCTTGGCTTCTGGCCTGTTCCTGGCTGTTTAAGGATCACTGATTGACTGCACTGCCTCTGTACGTACACACTCAGCAGGTATATATACCCTGTGCGAGGATTAAGGACAAAGCCAGTGCTGGCAGGGTTATGCAGCTTTAAAATAGCCTGTCAGAGGATTAATGAATTCTGGCTTGTGGCTTCTTCTTGTGCATTTGAGTAAGTATAGTACTGTTTAATAACCTAGCAAAGACCTTTAGCTTGGAAAAAAAGCAAACACCAGCCCAATGGCCTGGAGCAGCTACACTCCTTAAAGCTATAAATTCTAACATGGGAATGTAGCCAAATGGACTTTTGCTGCCAATGGTTGTTTGTCCTGTGTATTTTATTTTTTATGAAAAGCATGTTATCTCTTGTATTCGGGGGAGATCTTTAACTGGTGCCATGAGGCTGAGGTAGATGAAGCTGGAGTGGCGGGGGAAGGTTTTTTTTTTGCATATCAATCTTGTCAGCACTTGTTTGATTTCTTTTTTTAGGGAGTTTTAAGGCAGCTGATAGTGGGAAGATTCTCAAACGCTTCTCAGAGAATGAAAAAGAGTGTTTTGAACGATTGATGAAAGACCCACTACGCTCCTGTGTCCCTTGCTTCCATGGTGTGGTGGAGAGAGATGGCGAGAGCTACATTCAGCTGGATGACTTGCTTACTGATTTTGAAGGGCCAAGTGTGATGGACTGCAAGATGGGGATCAGGTGGGGTAAATAAAAAAGAAAGTGCTTTCTAACCCATGTGCATCTGGAGGAGGGGAGAGATGTTGTCATTCTCTGTGTGGAGGAGTGTGGTAACATTTTTGGATCCTTGGGATTCAGTACAGACAACTTATTGTTGTGGCAATTGCCTTGAACAGCCTGAGGGCAATATGTCCCGTTATTACCTGATTGTACACGGATTCTGGAAACTAACTGATCTATAGACTCACAAACTGTCCACATCAAAAAAATTTTCAGGGGTGATTTAAGACAAAGTTTCTCTGCAGTGGCCTGATAATACAAGGGAAAAAAACTACAAGATTTATTCACTGACAGTTCATTGAATCTTTCTGTATGCAGTGATTCAGAAAGCCACACAAAGAGTAAAATTCCCATCTCCAAATGCAAATGGCTGAATAGCAGCATGAGAGTCCCTTTCCAGCGCTTGAATGAGTCTTCGTTTATATTGATCTTTTCTGTAAAGAGCTGTCCATCTGCTCAGGATTGACCTGTGTTTTTCCCTAATCTGACATCTGAAAGTGTTGCTATTACCTTGTCTGTGATTAAGAGGAAAACCTTAATAATATTATCTAAGCATAACAAATAGATAGGGATCTGTTGGGAGTCTCTAGTAACAGTAGAGAGGTATGAACTGTCATAGTAATCCCTTGAGTGTCAGCTCAGATGCTCAAGAGTTGTTGTCATAAATGAGTTCCTCTACTTACAGGAGTGCAGGTATTCCTTTTCAAATAGATGGAAAATTTTAAACGAATTGTCAACTAAATCAAGGTAGACATATGTAGCACTGGTATGCTCAGAAGGAAGAGGAGAAGGATTTGCAGCAGCACATATCAGCACCTTCAGAGTAGGTGATGTTCTGGCAATGAGTGACAGCATCTCCTAAACGCCATCCTGATTTGTTACACTGTGATGAAGCAAGTAAGCTCCAGGCACCTGACAAAGTGTAAGCTTCAGGAATCCGGTGAAACGTAGAGAACATGGGCAGTGTCTTTCTAATGGTTACCGGATTAACGGATTGAGTGATAAGAGCAAAATGTGGAAAGTTTGTGACCCTTCACCTTCCTGTTCTTAGTTACCTCTTCTGATTTGGAACTGCTCAGATAATCAGCTTTACTCTGTAGTTTTTTACTATATGAAGAGTGATTCTGTCTTTCACTGTGATGCATTAAGTAAAACTTAAACTTTCTGAGGCCTAAAAAAGTACTCATGACTGATGTTAGGGTTTTTTTGAAGAGAGAATGCAGTAAGTCTTCAGAAGTCCTATTTGTTTTTGATTTTAAGTGATCTCTCCTAGCTGTCCTCTAAAAATACGGTTCTGTTTCATGGCACAGTAGGAGTTCATCTTTCTCCTGTTCTGTAACTGGGACATAACAATAACTTGTAATAGTAAGTAAAGGTGTAGTTAGAACAAGAAGTGAATGACAGTTTCTGTTTCCTGCGGCTGTTTCACTAAATACATCTGCACAGTCACTACTCTGGGTTCTTTAGTTTCCCTGTATGCAAAACTGGAGCAACGATAACACACACTTTTCTGGTTGATATTTTTTAAGGCCAGTTTGTAAGTTGTAAAAAGAAATGTTTAAGAAGTCCTTACAGTTTTTTTGGGATGGGATGTTTTTGTAGAACGTACCTGGAGGAAGAGTTGACTAAGGCACGAGAGAAACCAAAGCTGCGTAAGGACATGTACAAAAAAATGATTGAAGTGGATCCTCTTGCTCCCACGGCTGAAGAGAATGCCCAGCATGCTGTCACCAAACCCCGCTATATGCAGTGGAGGGAAACCATCAGCTCTAGTGCCAACCTGGGTTTCAGGATTGAAGGAATTAAGGTAATAGTTTCACTTCTGCTTGTTCCTGGAGACCGAACTTTGTTTGATGTGCTGATTAATCAAAAAGCTAGTGCTAGTCCAAAGGATTATGTGAGAATGCACTAACTGAAACCGTGGAGTTCACTGTAGTGCAGTTTTAAAGCATTCATTGTAATTGTAACAGAGCAGTGTCAATGAATTTAAGCTTCAAGTACTCATCAACCATACTTGAATCCACCACAGAGACCTGACAGGAAGGACTTAAGGAGGTACACAGTATAGATAGAATGAAATTGAGACTGTTATAAGGAGGAATTCAGAACAGAGGGATTAACTGCCTCTCCCCAGGCAATTACGTTTTTTTATCCAGGAACTATACATATTTATTTCAAGTGAAGTGGTTTTGTTGCAGTTATGTTTATTTGCAAGGCATGTTAAAAGCATTTGCTTAGATACTCTTGGGATCGAGGAAACCGCTTTTCCTTTTAAGTACATGATGATATCCAGTATAGATGGAGCTGGAATAAAGCCAAAATAATCCAAAATAAATTTTCTCTATCAAGAAAGTCCATCTGTTTGTTCTTGATAGATAAATCTGTGCCTTTATACCTTTCCTAGAATACTACCTTACAACCACAAGAGAAGCTTGGCAATTTTACTTCCTACCAATTAATTCTTCATACTAAATAGAATTGTAGAATGGCCTAGGTTGGAAGGGACCTTTAAGATCATGTAACCCCCATGCTGTGGGCAGGAACAGTTTTTGCTAGAGCGGGTTGCTCAGGTCTCCATCCAACCTGGCCTTAAACAGTTCTAGGGATGGGGCATTCACAATTTCTCTGGGCAGCCTGTTCCAGTGCCTCACCAACCTCACAGTGAAGAATTTTTTCCTAATAACTAATCTAAACCTACTCTCAGTTTGAAGCTGTTCCCCTTTGTCCTATCACTATATGCTCTTGCAATAAGCCCCTTTCCATCTTTCTTATAGGTTCTCTTCAGGTACTGGAAGACCACAATTAGCTCACCCCAAAGCCTTCTCTTTTACAGCTGGATAAACCCAATTCTCTCAGCCTTTCCTCATAGGAGAGGTGTTCCATCCCTTTAATCATCTTCGTGGCCCTCCTCTGGACTTGCTCCAACAGATCTCTGTCCTTCCTGTGCTGGGGACCCCAGAACTGGGCACAGTATTCCGGATGGGGTCTCACCAGAGCATACGGGCAGAATGCCCTCCCTCCATCTGCTGGCCACGCTGCTTTTGATGCAACCCAGGATACAACTGGCTTTCTGGGCTACAAGTGCACATTTGTTGCCAACTCACATCTAGCCTCACCCACCAGCACCCCCAGGTCCTTCTCGGTAGAGCTGCTCTTCATCTGTTCATCCCCCAGCCTGGATTGATACCAGGGGTTGCCCTGATCCAGGTGCAGCACCTTGCGCTTAAACTGCATGAGATACCAATGAGCCCACTTCTGGAGCTTTTCTGGGTCCCTCTGGGTGGCATCCTGTCCTTCAGGTGTGTCAACCACACCATTCAGCTTGATGTCATCTGCAAATTTGCTGAGAGTGCACTGATCCCTTTGTCTGTGTTCTTAAAGAAGACATTAAATGACACTGGTCACAATATGGACCCCTGAGGGCCATCAGTTGTCACTGCTGTCCACTGGGACTTTGAACCATTGACCACTACCCTCTGGATGCAACCATCCAACCACTTTCTTATCCGTCTAACAGTCCACTCCTCAAATCCATCTCTTTCCAGTTTGGAGAGAAAGATGTTGTCGGGGACTTTGTCAAAGGCTTTACAGAAGTCCAGATAAATGACATCTGCAACCCTTCCCTTGTCCACTGATGTAGTCACTCCATCATAAAAGGCCACTAGGGTGGTCAGGCAGGACTTGCCCTTGATGAAACTGTGCTGGCTGTTTCGAATCACCTCCCTATCCTCCATGTGTTGTGTTCCATGGCAATGTCAGACACCTACCCAGAAGCCTACTCTCAGAATATAACCCTGACTCAATTACTTGAATGTTAGCACTTGCTGGAATCCAGAAGCGTGTTTTTTGCACGCGTAGGCCTGTCACAACCAACCTTAAACTAGTTTACTTGGGTTTAGATAGAGGTGTACTTGTAGCAGCAGAGAGCATGGTGAGGGCTGTCCAAACCCACTTGCACCCTGGGTGACTACTTGTTACCTGAAACGCACGGCAGGACAGCAGTAAAGAAGCTAGTGTGGGTTACCCTGTGTGATGTCAGGATGTTCCCAGAGTATACACATTTAATTTAGGTCAATTAGGACATTGTAAATTATAACCTAGATTAGTTTTGCTTCCATTTCACAATTCAAGCACATAGAAATAAGAAAGGGATAAAAGAGGGTGATGCTGATGGACAGAGGCTCTTTAAATACCCCCTTCTTCTCTGCTTCCCTCTGTTGTCTTCTCCCTTCCTTATTCACAGATTCTCCTGCTGTGATAGAGGAACTGGGGCTTCCAGGCTCATGGTGTGTTGGCCCTCTGTGTACTCTGTGCCACCCACTCCTGGCTGTTAGACACAGGCATCATCATACAGGAACTGTCTGAGTGGTAGATGGTCTGGCTTCAGTCCAGCCAAGACACAGGATCTTGTCTTACCCTTTAGCCAACTAACGATATTATCAAGATGCCTGTTTTATTCCTATACCACTTAGGTTTTTGTATACTCTGTAATGGAATTAGAAACCCAGATGATCTTGAGACCTTTAAGGTATGTCTTGAAAAGATAGTTGGTCAGTGTACATGTACAAATTTATGCTGAATCCTGGAGAGTGACTGAGCTCAGGGAGCACAGGCGAGATTCAAAATGTCTCATGGCTTGTTCTTTGTGGTTTTGTTGCTTGTCAGAGATGGGTAGGAGCAGTATGGCACAAGGCTGAGTAATATTTCCCTCTGTGGAGACAGTGCTCTAACTGTGCAAAACATGAATACTTAGTCCTTGTTTAAGCACAGGAAATACTTTGGAGTACTTAATTACATTACCTTTCCCTCTTTCTCCCTGTGCTGTTATGAGGAATGTAGGTATCATTCTCTAATTTTATTTACATGGAGAAATGGTGGCAGAAAGTGAGTTGCTCAAGCAATACAGCTAGTCAGTGCTCCTTACACTGTTTCACTGCAGCTGAACTGTATATCCAATTCTGTGTATTTGCAGAAAAGCAAAACCATTCTGCAGGGATCCCCATTTTGGGAGGAGAGCCTATAAGAGTCAGTGGTGCCAGCTAGTGGTTGTTGGGAAAAAGGGGATGTTCTCCCTGATCGCACTGGTAACTCCTGGAGTTAGCTGAGAAGATATGTTGAGTTTGGTCATTCAGAAATATTCCTGTTCTATGGCTGCTCAAGTAAGAAGCAGAAGCAAAGAAGGTGAAATCATATAAGCCCTTCTGTGTCGTGGCTGCCAATAAATGAGATTCTATTTGCTATATGCACTCCTTCATCAGTGGAGTACCTTTTCTCTTTGGGTTGATCAGCCTCTTTTCCTTGTCTTGCTTCCGTGTCTCTGAAATCATGTCAGGTTCATTTATGGGATTTGTCACTTTTCCTCCTATCAAAAGTAATTCAAACCATTTGGTTTCCCCACAGCTGGAACCTGACACTTGCTATCTTGTGTCTGCCAGATTCTGAATGCATGTTTCCTCTCTGGCAGGGCCTGTCCGAAGGCTAGGCATCACAAACATTTTCTCTACATTATGAAGCTAATAGTTTTGCAGAGCAGAGATTCATCGGGCCAAGAACTGGAATTTTTGGCTTCCCATTCTATCACTGAATGTCAGTGCACTTTGAAAACGGTTCCTTTGGTACCGTTCCTTTAGCCGTAGATAGGGATAGCCATAATCCCAGGAGGATATCAGATATGATTCATAAATCTTTGTGTATCTATTAAGATAACCCAGAGTCTTTTAAGGGAAGTCTGTAGAGGACTTTGAGCGAGACCACATGGGTTAAGATAGGTAACACTACTTTATGGAGCTGTGAACGCTGCCCTGCTAGCCTTGTCACTGCACATGTAATGAGAAGTGTTGCAAGTGACCCATGAGCTGCACTGTGTGATGGACTGCTCCGCTGTGCAGGAGTGTATGTGGAGTCCTTGACAAAGGTATGACTTCCAGAAGTGGGTCAGGCAGGTGCCTCCTGGGGATCAGGTACATCCAGAGGTGTTGCAGAGCCCTGGTTTAGAATCCTGGGGATGGTACCATTCAAAATCTGGATGCTGTTTACAGCAAGTAAAGACAGGCAGCAGTTATATTTCCTGCCAACCACTGGAAAGGAGCAAAATCATAGCAGTGTTTCTCAACTGCAAGGAAGCAAGCAACTAGTCTGTTCAGAGAAAAAAAGGATGAAAAGGGAACACAGAGCAGCTATTCCAGACTGGGATTTGTGGCATAGGGAGAAATTATTTTTAAAACAACCTTACTCCATTGAAGAGGTACGAGGCATCAGATGAAGTTCCAGATTGTTGAATATTATCATACATCAGATCAGACGACTCCTAACTTTCACTGCCTACCTGCTGAACTGCTCTTGCATAACTTGCACATCTCATCAGGCTGATATGCCACACTTGTATCTGGCCCACAGCCTTGGAAGAAAATTCTGTTTATTCTGCTGCTAGAAAGTCTGGTAGGTGGGAGGCAGTTCTGCATGGCTCTGCCATTCAGTCAGTTCATTCTCTTGCATGAGAGATCTGGAATTTTAGCATTATTGAGATTTTTTCATGTATATGTTAGAAGCCAAGTTCAGCTGTGGAATAAATATTGTTTCACCTGCCGAGACTGGAGCTGAATTTATCCAGTTTTGATACAGTGACTTAATATGTAGGAGAGAACACATTTTAAAGACCTACTGATTTGCTCTTATAATGAAAATGAGGGATTTTCTGATACAGTGGAGAGGAAAGCAGATTGATAATCCTTCAGGATTTTAGTGGGTTTTTATTTCCAACTGTAGTAATTACTGTATTTTACACGATTGTCCTAGAATCTCCTATTTGTGTCTCTTGAAGCAGCAGGGATACTGCTGGAGACATGCATATTCATATAGTCTATGTTGACAGATACCTCTGATTCATGCACTGTTCTTATTTACTTTTAGTTCCAGAAGCACAAGCTGGTCACTACCAGCACATAAAGACTTTTTTTCAGTAGCAGGATACTTCTGTACTGAACCTTACTGCTAGCGCTAAAATACTCTGAATTTCTCCAAGACCAACGTGGAACAAGCATGCCTAAACATTCCTTTGCCAAAATTCAGTTACCTTTGTCACTGGTAGCATTGCAAATCCCAGGTTGTTCCTGTCTACAACTTCTGTTCCATTCTGTGACTTCTAGGTCACATTAATGTTCAAAGGTGTATTGGGAACTGAGTCCTAACCGCGATTCTTTGATTTCCCCAGTGAAAAACAGAAAAACCAACAAAAACAAAACCCCACGAACAACAACAACAAACCCTCACCAAATAGAAAAAAAAAAAAAGGACTAATAAAATTGGATGTGGAAATGTTCCCTTACACCCTCAGCCAGGGTTTTACTACATCTAGCAAGACAGGAGGACAACCAAAGAGTTCACTGTCGTTTGCCCCACTGAACTTTGCAACTGCTACCACTGACATGTCATAAAACCCTCCTGCAAGCTTGTAATATCATGAGGTTTGCTTTCTTTTTTCCTTGTACTCAACAGGAAATGAAGTGCCACTGCCATTTAAAGTTATCCAATCAGCTTTTGTATCTCTTCTCCTCTACTTCTTTCTTGGTTTATTTGTTCTCTTCCTGTTCAACTACTCACTTTCATCTGCTTAGCAAGAGCTGAACTGTTGATGGTTCAAGAGGATTGACTGATGAAGGGAATGATATGCATGTGGTATAAATCATCTCTGTCTTTGTGTGGGTTTGTGCAGAAGGCAGATGGAACATGTAACACAAACTTCAAAACTACGAAGACACAGGAGCAAGTTCTACAGGTTTTTGTGGAATTCATTGAGGGCAACACAACTATTCTGGTGAGTTTGAACTCTTCTTTGATTGTGGGCCCAGTGAACTTGCTTCAGGGCCAAGCTTTCTTTGGTACATGAAATAGGACTTAGACTACCAAGGAAGTAAGTGGTTTGGACTTCAGTTTCTCTCAGGACATGGTGGACATGGGAACTTGGGCTGCGAGAAGTAGTTGACTGAGACCAGTTCTGTCAGCTTGTGTCATGAGTTCACCCTAAATGCCTTGTGGTAGCAAACTGTCGTTCAGACTAACTTCCCATCAGCTTCGACCACATGTGTTAATTGCATCAGAGGGATGATGATATCTAAGCAAGGATTGTGTTGACAGGAAAATCTGTGATTTAGGAATTTAATCTGGGGAGGAAAAAACAAGAGCCTAGAGGCAGGAAGTGAGATTCATGACTGGCTGTGCTCACACGTATGAAATTCATCTCAAAGAGCAATTCCTGTATTGCAATTCATGGGTAGCACAGCAGGCATGTGGTAGATGGCATAACACATCTCTTTGAAACTTCAAAGGATGCCATAGTGTTTTGCTGCAATGTGGAAGCCATTATGGAGGCAGATTAACCCTCCAGGAGCAGCACGGTAACAGAGGGCAGCATTAAAAATGTGCACTAGAGCTTTATAAGTTAGGCATTGATTCTTTTTATCCTCGCCACTGCCCCCACCATGGTTGAAGCTCGTTGTCTCTCTGACACAATTTCATTCTCTTTTCACTGTAGAGAACTGAAAGATTTTTAATTGCTTGAAACATTTTTCTCTTTATTAAGAAGGAAAAAAAACAGATGCAGAAAGCCTCACTGCATCCAAATCAAGGCAGATAAGTATGCTTAGTGTAACACATGCAGCAGAGGAACTGCAGTCTGTTCATTCGCTATGAAAGCTTGCTGAAGTGTATTTTCAGATTGACTTTCAAATTATGAACCTGTTGTTTTGAAGGACCTCTAGCCTAAAATTAATATGGTCTCTTCATTATATTGACTCTTGCAAACAGAGTATCTTTGTTCAGTCTTCAGTTAAATGTTTATGGGCTGTTTGTTTGTTTGTTTTTTTTTTCTCTTCTTCCTCTAGAAAAAATACCTCAAGCGTCTGCAGGAAATTAATGTCATTCTTGAATCCTCAGACTTCTTCAAGCGACATGAGGTGAGCAGTGAGTGTAATGTTGTGGAGGTGCATTGCTTCTTCATTTGGTCATTCAGGTCTACTTAAGAATAGCCTGCTGTATGAGTAGAAAGGAGTTTGTAGAACAAAACTAATGTATGTTAACAACACAGATACCACGAAGCCTTGATCACAATGATACAGAAGATTAAACTACTTGAGAAATAGTAAATCCTCACATCTTTATAATATCTCAGCACTTTTAACTCTGGGCCACTGCACAGGGTGATTTATTAGTACTGGTTTCCTGCGGTTTCTCTAATCTTGGTGTGTTCCGGTGGGAATCTTTACAGGGGAATGGCAGTGTGGAAGTTTGCATTTGGTACAATTGCACTGTTGTAGTTTGACAATGAGGGCTGTATTAGTTATAATGGATTTACATTGAAATAATTTATAATTCTGCTTTAGATGTTCTCCCTGTGTGCTTTGATGTGCAGAAGGCATCATTAGCATTGTAAGTTCTGCTTGCTACAGCTCAAGATTCTGAGATTAGGCATTTTATTTTACCTTACTGATGTCCTCTTATCACTGGAGATATTTTTGTTAATCAGGGGTCATGATCTGTTTGAAAATAGCCACTGGCCTTTCTGAATTGCTTAAATTGAGACCTGTTGCTAAGTGAGATTCTATTGTGTCCATTTCTCATCTACATGCCCTTTTATACCTTACTGATTGAAATGGTTATGCAAATGGGGCATGTAAATTGTCAACAATGGATAAGTGCAGCCCAAAAGTCTGTTGGGTGACAGGCTATCTGAGGAGGTCACCTTCTTATCGGGAAGTGTTTAAGTGATGGGGGAGGGCTGAAGATGTATTTTTAACCTCATCATTTCAATCTTGCAGGTCGTTGGAAGTTCATTACTTTTTGTACATGATGGCAGTGGGAATGCCAATGTGTGGCTGATTGATTTTGGAAAGACTACCCTTCTCCCTGATGGGCAGACACTGGATCACAGAATCCCCTGGCAAGAAGGCAACAGGGAGGATGGGTACTTGTTGGGGTTGGACAATTTGATTGGCATCTTGGAAAGCATCACTGAAAGATGAGTTAAGAATGGCACAAAACTTGCAGAACTTCTCTGTAATTTTCTGCTTTACTGAAGTAGAAGGAAACCTTTAACTCCAAGCTCCTGAGGTGCAGAGGAAGCTACATCCAGAACTCAGCAGTTAGTGATCAAAATTACTTTGCATCAGCCCTCTGTGGACGTAAACAATAACTCCGGATTGGTCTCTATTGCACCAGATGAACTTGAGACTGGTCCTCAGAGAATGAAGATCTCCGTACTTAGGAATCACACCAGCATGAGTCAAGAGGTCTGTGTGGTAAACCAGAATGACTGTGATTTCTGGCAAAATTGGACTCCAGATTACTTTGTAGTGAACCAGGGCAAATGCTTGGGGATTCAGGACAGAAAAAAATCATTTTTTCAGGGAAAAAATGGTTTCAGTTTTGAACCCAGATTGGTTTTTTCCTCTCTAATTCCAAGTCTTCTTGCACCTGTGTACACTATAGGTTGGACCAACAACTTCTGCCGCATTATGTTACAGAGTGAACAAGGTGGAAATGGGTGATAATTACAAGAAACCTGGAGCAGAGGGAGACAGCAGTTTGTGGTGGCTTGATGTGGCCTAACGGCTGTTGACCATTCCTCCGCTTCCCCACCCTAGCCTTGCTTCTATCCAAGAACAACCTTGGCTTTTTATGTAGCTTCTCAGGAGATTACATTTACTCTAGGGAGAGAATAGCAGCCTATGGTCTCCAAAACCATTTGACTTTCCAGCTGGGTAGGCTGTTTGAAATGTTAGTAGCTTGGCAGGTTTGGCCTCTTGCAGCTGAACTGCACTTCTGAAAATCACTAATGATCTTTCACACACAGATCAGGGAATTAAGTTTTTTTTTTTCCCAAGGCTTGTTTATAAGGATAAAACCCCTATGCACGAGCACACAGATGCACATACTAGTAATCAGCAACCAGTGTGATCTCTTAAGATCATGGTTTGACTGTCTTCTAGTGTACCTGACTTCTTGGCCATGTTCCTGTTCTCAAATACAATTCTGCCACTTAAGTGTATGAACAGGCACAGCAATCAGGATGGTAATGTTTCTGCATTCACAACATTACACAATGATGAGGTCATTCCCAGGTATCCTTCCTCCAAGGTGTCAGCTGTTAAATCCAGGCAGTTTGGGTGAAGAAATGTCAATATATCACATCTTCTAGTCCCTGTCTGGAATTGCAGGGCGATCTGTGATTCATCCTTCTTTTGCTGTGGTTCAGGCACAGCCACAGAAAATTCACAGTTTTTAGATTAAGAAGACTGAAGTGTTTTCTTGTAATAGCTTCACATACCTTCTCCTTGGTTTCCTCTAGTCACTTGAACAGTTCTTTAAATACTAGCAGTGTAAATACTATCATTAGTCTCATGTTCACTCACATTCCAGGTTTTAACATCAGTAATGTGATGATGCAGCAAAATGTGGACTAGACTTGCATTGCTAGTTGATGGTTAATCCTCTTTCAACATCTAAAGCTAGTAATGCACATTGATCAGAAATTGCTGTCTTTTGCTGGTGTCCTGTGCGCAGGAGAGATTCTGAGAACTTTTGGATATATGAAGCTGACTCTATGCTTTGAGAAACTGCTACTTCAATAATAATCAGTATCATGAGCAAAAAAAAAAAAACCCTGTAGAGTTCAGGTTTGGAATGAAATCTATATGTAACATTTGTAATTAGGACTGAAGAGCCTAAAATAATTTCTAAAAGGATTTACTTTGGATAACACACTACTGTACTAAAAGATCAGTCAGATTTAATTACTTTTTCATTAGCTCTAAACAAAACAGCAGTATTAAAAATTGAAGCTCAATTGTCATATAAATGTTAGATGACTTAGAGTAGGTATTCTGTAGGAAGTAATGACATGTGGAAACATTTCATTCTAAACCAGAAGTTGTCTGAAACTGGTAATTATTTTTGCAGTTCACTGCAAATCCAGATGACTTCTGTGGCCTCAGA